TGGATGAGAGCTCTGCTACACTTAGAGATGAACCCACACAAACTGCACTCTATCCTCTCGCTGCTGTGGACATCTGAGGCTATCATCATCAACTGAAATATGAAGACATACATGCTTAAATGGAGAAAACTATATTCCCAGTTCAGCTGTGGTGGTGTAGAAAAACTAGAGGATCAGAGAGGTGATTCTATTTCCTGGGTATCCACCACCAGCTGGATGAATTATAAAAAGAGATAATAGCACCCATGAAATAAATGACATCGGAGGGTGCTATAGTATAAAAACAGAAAAACAATTGGGCAAATCAGAATTATACAAATATTACACAAAATGTGACTTTTTATATATATATAAAGATAAAAAATAAAGATAAAAAATAAAGATATATATATATAATAAATAAAGATAAAAAATAAAGATATATATATATATATATATATAATAAAGATAAAAAAGTCACATTTTGTGTAATATTTGTATTATTCTGATTGGCCCAATTGTTTTTCTGTTTTTATACTATAGCACCTTTCGATGTCATTTATTTCATGGGTGCTATTATCTCTTTTTATAATTCATCCAGCTGGTGGTGGATATATATATATATATATATATATATATATATATATATATATATATATATATATTTTTTTTTGAGTTTTATTAAATATCTCACTGTGTTCTAAATTATGACCAGCTTTTCTAATTTTTGTTCTGAGGTTTGATTTTAAGCGATGAAATCACCTGCTCGGGCTGCTCTGTGCCAGGGTCTCCTCCTGTGTTATCTTCACCTTCACCTGAGGGGAATTCAGAAAAATAAAACACTAAGTAATTAACAACTCTTAAAATAAAAACAGACATCAAAATAATGAAGGCTGACATAATCAACTTGATGGGAATTAGCAAAGATTCTTCATATTCCATGTTTGCAAAACCAGGGCTGTAAACAATATTTAAATTTTAATAATAATTTTAATTTTTCCTCATAAAACTCACATTTGCAAGACTGACAAAATGTGCAAGCTTTATCGTGCTTTAAAATGTTTTTATAATGAGAAAAGAGACGAGGTGCCCTTAGTAAAAAATTAAGAAAAGAGAAAAGATGCTCTATGTAAAAAGTTGTCTAAATTATCTCTCAATTCTACAGGGTTGTCATAATTAAGGGTGTGTGATGTCATTCGATTTTTTGACTTTTTTATTTTAGAAATAATGCTACTTACCTTTCTCTTGACCTCCACCATCCCCTTGCCCTGCTTCTCTGTAATCACAAAAAAAGTCAATTACAATAAACATTACTTTTTCAATTTACTGGGCATTTCTTAATTTTTTTTATCAATTTCTCCATCCCTGTACCCTACATATTACAACTAAATTGCCCTTGTCTATCATTTTGTATTGTCCAGCAAACAGAACCAATCTTTTAATTATTGTGCCTCCCCCCCCCCTCCCCAAACACACAATCATGGATCAGCCACTGTAACTCATCCAGTCCTTAAATATTTAGTAACTACTCACTCAGACTCTCCAGGATCTTTGTCTTTGCTCTGTTTTATACACAGTGGTTTCCCCACCACCTGCACAACAACTGTCTTCTCCTTTACAGGTTCTTCCTCACCGTTTTCTGTTGTTTTGTCATCTGAAATAAAAAAAAAATATTTATTCTACTATTGCTGTTACTGTCTACATCTGCTTTTTCATCATTTTAATTTTTTCAATACAGGTACTTTGTTATTTTGCTAAATTATACATATACATATGACTTAATTGGTGATTCGAGGAACGCTGAATTGCCTTGACACTTACAGTACTTCGTGTCGTGTTTCACCCACCCCCAAGGAGATCACAAACTGAACGAAAATATATCAATAGGAAGTTTAGTTACCTGTCTCCTCCGCGTCTTTTTTCGGAGTTTCGCCATTCTGTTCTTTTTCTTTTTCCTCTTCCTCTTCGTCTCTTTCTTTAACGCGTACAATACCATCACAAAACTTTTCACCGGCTTCAAAATCTTCAGCAGAAACCACGGTAGGTTCATCTTCGAGATACTCAAACTTGATCTTTAAGGCGTTTTCTTCGTTATCGTCGATTTGCAGGGAATCAAGCCGAAATAGACCCTCATTCGGGCCACCGAAATTCACGTCCACGGATTCGTCATCATTTTTCTCCAGATGAATCGTGTTTGAAGAATCAGAAACACTCGAGAAAACCGCCTTTTTTCCTACAGTGAGAGTGAGATACACATCCATGACGTTCCGCGGTAACACGAATCCCGCTCCACGCTTCTTTTCCGCAGGTTTCTCACTCTCTGCCATCTTGTATTTCGCCTATTGGCTAAATAGCCTAAGACGTCCTTCTGTCCAATGTTAAAGATACTTGCACCAATAAAAATTGGATCAATTTCCGATGAATTTGACTCAAGGTTTCGTTAATGGAGCGCCTCTTGAAAAATGGAGGCCACGCTGAGGTACCCGGATGCATGACAATATTCCTGCCTCCGTTGATTGAAGTACAAAAAGAGCCTGCGCAGAATGATTACTATGCGTCATTGTTATAAATATGCACAAGGGGATTTTCGTTCATAATTTTGGAAAGCTGTACAGTATTATCTCTCACAAAGTAAGAAAAAAGTAATATTGAAGTATTTTTATTCATCCAAGGCTGTACATATTTCACATTAATCAATCATAAAAGAAAAAAATTTAATGCATAAACCTAACAGGGGCCTATAATTATATATGTCCTTTAGCTTATTATGCTAAAGCCTAGTTGCAACAACAACAACAACAACAACAATAATGATAATAATAAATGATTAAAAACAAAGAAAACAACACGTTTATATAACACAGCAGTGTTATAAAAAATTCTTGATCTTTAGAAATGCAAGTTAGCCATGAACGAGAAGGCAGTAAGCCTACGTGTTAACTATCAAAAAATTCTTATCTTCAAAAATTCAAGTTACTCATAAAACAAACAAGTAGTCCCCCTACTAGTAATGTTATTATTAAAAGTAAAGTTGAGTAAAGCCAATAATTTCAAAAGACCACCGAAAATCAAAGATCAGGAAGTAACCCAGAACTGGTGCATGAATGAATTTATTGATCAAAAACCTTTACATACAAGGTGCAATTAAAGACAAGGTTTAACAAACACACCACTATTATAGTAGGCCTACTACTAAATCTAACTAAATAAATAGGATCTATTAATAGACCCCTATAAGCCTATATAGGGTGCATAAGCGGAAGACACATCTACCTTATAAATATATGTAAAATTATAGAAAAATAATTAAAGTAGTTATACTACTACTTTTAACAATGCATTACTAATATCGAAGAGATACAAATAGAATCAATTACTAAGTAAATAAGAGTCACTTCAGTATAAATAAAAAACTAATGTCTATCTATATAGCATATATACTGTCAGTCAATGAAAACGCATCTGAAAACTTTTTTTTACCGAGAATCGATCCCAACCATTTAAACGATTACAAATGCACTTGTTTGGTCATAAGAGAGTGGGCTGACCACTCGGATGTTTAAAATTTCCGCTTCAGTGATTTTGTGACCAGCACGTGTTTTTCCTGTCTCGTGGTTGGTGTGAATTAATCAGGTTCAATATATGGTGATTAATTAAGTCTATCTAAGGTAGTCACCAAATCCAGTGTGACACATGACAAAAAAGTTCAGTAATGCCACGTCTGACACTGAGAGAGTGACTGCGGGCCCTGGGGATGCTGGAGGCTGGGCGGAACCAAGGAGATTTGATTACGTGACCTTGCATTTTAATGATCTTTTCTGACCTTTATTTCACCTTGTGTAATTGAATAATGGGTCATATTTCACACGTAAACTGTTATTTTCTTAATGTGCCAAAGGAACAAAAATATTATTTGATAAATAAATGATGCGTTTTCATTGACTGTCAGTATACATGTATATACAGGTATATACCAGTAGCACCAATTGAGTTGTTTGTTCTATTACGCATTATTTTTAAAAAGTGTTACCACTACCTTAATAGATATATCGGAAACTGAAACAAGCAAACATTTTAACTCGTTTAGAAAGACCAACTTTTAGTTTCAATTACGGCAAAGGGAAGAAGGACACGCCACTAAAGAAATATGACTTCCTTTTCTAAAAATACCACCGAAAGCCATTTTTCCTCGTTGTTCATAATTACAAATATAATTTGGGAGTTCATTTGATGTAAGAACTCCACATATAATGACTAGTGACTAGACAACAATACTGTTTAATGTGCGTTTCTCGAGACAATTTGACAGGTGAGTTGTCCAAAACGTTGTCCATGCCGGTGTAACGTGACAGAGAGCCCTCCATGACAGGGAGTCCGCTTCCCCTTCATTTGTACAGGTGAGCCTCGCCCTAGATTTTGACCCACTTAGGTCAGACTAACCCTAACCACTGTGACTATATGGAGGCGGATTTTCTGTTACACGCACCCTCAGTTTCGTTACACAGGTGTGACAGAAATGGTAGAACGCTCGGAACCTTATACCGTTAACGTTCCCCATTACCTGTACTTTGTACAGGTGATATCCGCCCCCATATTCTAACGTTAAACCCAAAACTTCGAGTAAACCTAACCTCTATCACAAGTGACCCCGGACTTCCATTCCTAGTAATACCGTTTCTGTCACATCCGCCTCCATGAGTGCAGTGTTTTTAAACATACAAAGAGATTGTAGGGCCTACATGTGCGTGTATCATGTGCATTTATAAAATCCTTGATGCGGAGATAGCGTTTACCCCCCCCCCCCCCCCCCCTTGACATGTTTGACGAAGTCAGTGTTAACTTATTTTGTGCATTAAGCCGCAGTGATTCAATGCCAAGGTGCTTGGACCGAGTACATTATAAACTAGATAAGCACTCCGAGAGCGCAGACCTTCGCCAAGGCAGCAATTTTTGATAATTATTCATTATTGATTGATTATTGATCCGGATCACCACCAAAAACTAATCATCTCTTCCTTGGCCCACTTCTGACCTACCCTGAAAATTTCATCAAAATCGGTCCATAACTTTTGGAGTTCTGTTGATGACAGACAGACAGACAAACAGGGGTGAAAACATAACCTCCTTGGCGGAGGTAACTACATGTATATCTAGTTGTATTTGTTCTACGAGAAAAAAAGAGAGAGAGAGAGAGAGAGAGAGAAAGAGAGAGAGAATTTTAACCCTAACTTTAAAAACAACTGAAAAAGAACTTACAGTAAAAACGAAAATGAACCGGATCCGAAAGTTCACACTTTTTCGAAGTGTGATTAAAAAAAGCAGCGGTGAGCGAGAAACGATATGAAAGAGTATCGGTGCGAAGAAAACACAAGAAGGAAGCCATGTATTAGTACCTCATGATCGATCCTATATACTTTCTTGTGTAAACTAACCAACTTCCGTGTTGTAGATAATGATGTTACTCTCTCCCCAGGCTGTAGATGAAGATACCTGTCATCAGGGCATGGGAGAGGGAATATAACACAAAGGTTTTAGGTTTTCCTAATCCTCCCCCTCTCCCTCCCTCTCTGTCTCTCTCTCTCTCTCTCTCTCTCTCTCTCTGGAGCTTCTCCATTGGATTATGAATCAGTCTATCGGAATCTCATGCATCTCAGTCCCGCCTATCTTTAATACAAACCTAATGACGTAATCAAACCAATAAACGTTCTTTAATTTAAAATCCGACACATTCCAATTTTACCAGGTGAAATGGCTGAACCAAGATCAAAAGAATTGCATACGGGATTTACTCGTCAAAATCAATTCCCCTCGCGGAAAAAAGTTGATGGATTTATTAAGGGGTGTGCATGGGCATTAACATTTTATAAAGTCATGTTTTATAATGCATGAAAATTTCAGAATTAAATATTTCATATATTATTTGATATTATCTGATGATAATACACCTGTGTAGTCTATTGATAATATTACGTTTTAATGTTTCATTTTCTACACAAAATGAAAAAGCAAAAACAAAGCATTCGGTTACATCCTGTGTTATTATGAGAATGAACACTCTACTCACCCATGTATCAGTAACTGTATCAGTTCATAATAACACGTGTGCTGCGCTTATTTAATTTTTTTTTTTTTTTTTTGACGTTTTATTGGTGTCAAACACTTCAAATATCAATATTTGTAATTGTGATATTCTATAGATTAAAATAATATTTTGATTATCAGCATAATCAAATGAAATAACATTATGTGCGATTGTGTTGTGACGTCTTATCTATATTATGCGACAATCTAACTCTAGTAGAGTTCGAGGCTATAATTGTATTGTTTTGTACAGGTGGGCCTCGTCCTAGATTTTGACTAACCCTAATCATTATAACTATACATGTATATGGACTTTCTGTCACACGAACCCTCAGTTTCGTGAAACCAAAAAGGGTGTTAAGAGCAAAAGGGCGTTTGAAGGTCATTTTCCGGGACCTGAAATGATACGGTCAGTAGAATTACCCCGGGTATCTCACCAGTGAGCGAATCACTGGGCCACGTGATGTTGTATTTTTTTTTAATCTACAGATGTAAACAGTTAACCATATACGAGTCTAAATTCTCTTCCCGATAATGCACAGAACGTTCACCTCCGGGTAGCCTGTAATAAGTCAGCGCACGACAAATAGAAAATAGACAATAGAAACGTAGCGTTTTAAAATAGGCCCCGTTCACATGACAAGTCTATTTTCTAAAAATCTATTTTCTATTCGCGGTATCTTGTGATCACGGTCTGTGCCCTGAATACCCCGCAGCGTAATTACTGGCAGCGCGAACCAGTTACTTCCAAAGCTGTAATTAATTCTCGGCTGCACTCAGAGTGACCACAAGATACCGCGAATAGAAAATAGATTTTTAGAAAATAGATTTTTCATGTGAAAGGAGTCGTAGTTGCACAAGCTATAAATAGCAACGTACGTAATGTTCCCCAATCTCACTTTCGCCAGCTCTTTCAACTGTGTTCTTTTGGGGAATCTAATAGAGAGTGGTCTACATTTACATTTACAACCCTCAAACGCTTCCACGAATAAGCAGATTAGAATTGAAAGGAGATCAGGTGTATTTCCCTTGACATACAAGTATGCTTAATTGGCTGGTCCAGTGCAAACTTCAATGTGCGTGAAGCCCCAGTGATTAGATACGCCGAGGTGCTTGTACTGAGTAGCCTACAATATAAACTATTAATATGAGTTGTATTCGAAAATGGTGTTGAATGGGAAAAAGAATAACACTACACAAAACGTACTTGTTTTGGAACAGGTTTTTCGAAAGAAATTATGATTTTTTCTCTCAGTAGAAAATTCTATCAAAAATGGAAACATATTTGGAGCACCCATACAGTAAAAAAAAAAAAAAAAAAAAAAAAAAACAATAATAAATAAATAAAATCCAGAAACCTTGTTAATACAGTACCTAGACCCAAAATTTGAGAAACATTTTTGAATTGCCCTTCAAAAACCGAAGAGGTGAGTGAGTAAC